TAATGCTTTAGCTCAACGGCAGCTGTTTAACTTTCGTTAAGGGATGGGCAGAATCTCACCGTTCTGCTGTCTAATTTTGCCAATGGTTCTATGCGGTCGGTGTGGGTTGGGTAATTTATAAGATTTCTTCGCTTTCTATATTTCAACGAAAGGGAAATAGCAATAGATCAATATCAATCAATGTTGCACTTTTCATATTAAATTGATAAAGCAGAGATTTTCGTAACGCGCTTCGTGCCGCTTTTGTAAGTAAAAGTACATTAAAAAGCAAAAAAGAGAGAGTTAAAAGAGAGATTTAAAAATGGTAAGAGTTAAACCATAATAAAGCCAAAAGGAACATTAATATCCAGCAAGCCAAGTAAACTTAGTTTCAGACGTAAGATAGGCAAGTTAATAATGACAAAGCAGTTAGTAAATTAAGTAGGATCGCATTCGTCGCAGCATACAAATTAACATAATTATTTACACAAATAAAACATTCTTTCAACTCATTTATCATAATCTACGATTTAGAACATATCGAGAATACACAGAAGTCTTTGTCGCACATGTCGCTTGGCTAACTACTACAGCTCGTATCTATGACTAACTAATATGAGTAGTTAAATAACAATGTTCAGGTTTGCTTCTTGCTTTTGCTTGTTTTAGTCACCAATGGAGAGCTGTAGAGCTCTATAGCCGTACGCCGGCAGTTCTTGAATTTAGTGATTGAATCAATAATATGTCGATAGTGTGAGCCATTGCAGAAAGTTTGCTTGATTAGTGTTTGGTGCTGTTGGTGGTCGCTTAGAAGTAGTAGTAGTAGTGGTAGTGGTAGTAGTTCGAAGAGTGGGTTAGAATGCAATACAGAAGTGCCATCAAACGATGAGCCAATAGAACTGAACGATTTTCTTATTTAATAGCGGCAATTAGCGGACTCTCTGCGCCTAAAAGGGGAATAGAAAGAAAAAAAGAAATGTTAATCACTTTTTTTTCCATAGAGTTTTGTGGGCACTAATTCACGAGTCTTGATGTATGGCATGCGCGGCCAGGTCCAGGTCACAGGCATCGAGCTCTCATAGTTGAAGTTGTACAGTTGATCCTCCAGCCACTTGCGCTTGTCCTGCGGCTCTGGGTATGTGGATGCCAATCCTAATCAAATTGTAATCAAATCAAAATTATGCCACAGAAGCAAACAGGTGAATGCAAGACATACCCTTGTCATAAGCACACTTGGTCACACCAATGGCAATATTCATGGATACATCACGGATGCTCGACAGTGGTGGGTACAATGAGCCACGCTCGATATCAGAGGGTTCTACAAAGTTGGCCAGCTCCTGGGCAGCAATAAGGAACATATCATCGGGTATGTGATGGGTGCCAGTGCAGATGACGCCCAGACCCACGCCAGGGAAAATGTAAGCATTGTTACCCTGGCCGGGATAATAGGTCTTGTTGCCCACTGTCACCGGTGGGAAGGGCGAGCCCGATGAGAAGATTACGCGAGCCTAGCAAAAGAAAATAAAGTGAGATACATAAAACTGAGAGCAAGACATATATAGAGCACAAAGACTCACATCCGTATTCTGATAAGCCTCTTCGGCCGTGCATTCCGCCTTGCTGGTTGGATTTGACAGCGCAAAAATGATGGGCCTTTCGTTATTCTCGCCCATGGTGCGCAGAATCTTGGGCGTAAACAGACCGGCACAGGCCGAAGCACCAATTAGCACCTGTGCAATAAAAATGCGAATCAGTGAGATTTATATGCAATACAAATACAAGGCTTACACTTGGTTTAATGGTCGACACAATTTGCTCGAGATCAGCCATGGGTTCAATGTCCTTGGCATAGTTGACTTTGTGACCGTCCAAGCTGCCCACCTTGCGCGTTTTGGTCAACAGGCCATCAATATCAACCATGAAAATTCTGCTGTAGGCCTCATCGATGGGCACGCCCTCGGCAACCATGCCCTTCACGACGAGATCGGCAATGCCGATGGCAGCCTCGCCGGCGCCAGCGAATAGGAAAGTGTAGTCCTTCAAGGACTTGCCCGTGATACGCTTGGATGCGTACAATCCAGCCACAGCGACAGCGGCTGTTCCCTGTATGTCATCGTTAAAGGTGCAGTAGTTGTTGCGGTACTTGTCTAAGAATCTAAATGCATTATGATTGCCAAAGTCCTCGAATTGGATCAGGGTATTCTGGCCATATCGCTTCACAACTGCCTCCATGAACTCGTCAATAAAATCATCGTATTCCCGTCCCACGACTCGCTTCTGTCGCAGGCCCACGTACAGCGGATCCTCCAACAGGTCGATATTGTTGGTGCCAACGTCCACCACAATGGGCAGGCACTGATGCGGCTTAATGCCCGCCAGTGCCGTGTACAGGGCCAGTTTGCCAACTGGAATGCCCATGCCGCAGGCGCCCAGATCTCCCAGACCCAGAATACGTTCGCCGTCAGTTACGCAGATGGCACGCACATTCGGCTCGGGCCAGTTCTTCATCACATCAAAGATGTGACCGCGATCATTGAATGTGACGAAGAGGCCATGCGGACGTCGATAGATCAGGCCAAAACGCTGGCACGCCAGGCCAACTGTGGGCGTGTAGACAATTGGCATCAGATCCTCAATGTTTTCCGACAAGAAGCGGAAGAACAGACGCTCATTGCGATCGTGCAGATCGCTCAGATACAGATACTTATTCAGCGGCTCTGTATAGCGATTCACTGCAATCTTGCACAGCTGCAGCTGTTCCTCCTGGGTCTTGAAACGCGCCGGCTGCAGTCCATGAATACCCAGCACCTGACGCTCCTCCAGTGTGAAGGCCAAGCCCTGTCGAGGGGGTGCAAAAGCCACGTAAGTCTATCTGCCTCACAGTCGGAGGTCCAATTGCACTGGCACTTACCTTATTCAAACGAGGATCGCGTATGTGATCGATGCCGCGCACCTGCGAGGGGCAAATGATGTCGCCGACAACCTCATGATAGCCGCGGGCATCGCTCAGCGCCAGCGCCGATAATGCTGGCAATGTTGTTGGAGCGCTTACTGCTGCGGCAGTTCCATTGCGACACAGCCTACCGAGATTTCCGCACAAGCTGCAACAAAAACAAAAACAATATTTATCACTGCGATGCAACGTCACGAAAAATTCAAGTTCAAGGTTGGCGTCAGCTGTTTTAGATAATGCTTAGAATCGAGCTAGAGGAGTGCTCAGCCAATTGCGACAATCTATTATCATTGCTCTATCAACAGAACTCTGAATGAGTTTGATTTCGACGCACAACAACAATACAAAATACCCGGCAAGAACCTTAGTACCATAAAAAACCATGAATGTATTCTCTTTTCTTACTGAAAAAAACACTTCAGTATCTAAATATTATCATATCAATGGACTTAATGAATACAAAGTATATTGTATATTATATAAATCTTATAGAAGTAAGATAACAAATTAAAGTATTGTTTGTGTTATGAAGTGTTTTTGTCAGCCACAGGGTATCTTAAAGTCAAGCACACTTGAACTATGCCCAATCTAGTTTGCCATTTATCAGAGTGGTGCAAAAACTAAGCCGCATTGTTTACGATCGCACGATAAGATTCCGAATGATAGCATATGACGAGGGTAGCAAATATGTTGGCCGTTTGCATTCTGGGAGATTTAGCATAATTGGCGCTAATTGCGTACACCTTGTGACTAAGTTCATTCATTGATGGGTATGCCCATCAGTGGGATTACGGCTGCCGCAGTAGCTAGAAGCAAACCCGTTAATGACGCGCCTACAGTTCCACGCGCTCGTGACGTGTTGGCCCGAAGTGCGGTCTAAGTACTACACTCACCGCTTATTAACAGACGGGTGTAAGGGGCTGGCATGGAAGTGGGAAGTGGGCATGGTCTGGTATCATTATCATCATTCGACATTTTGTTTCTATATGCTCAGCCAAACGCCCAGCAGCTCACATGAGCACCAAGTGCTTTTTATTCGCACTCATACAATATACTTTATATGTATGTATGTATATCCACATATGTTATATCTAATCACTCATACAATTGTAAGTGCATGTCGTAAACATTTCCGTATTTGAAACGAGGTTCATACGGCACGCAAATTATCTCAAAATCGTTTCATATTACGATATGACCAAATAGCATGAGCTAATGTGACTTACCTATGATATCATTCATTGTCTTAGACCTAGCATAGTATATGTTTGGTATATTATATTCTATCTATAGCATATCTTTTTATTTCTATTCTATTCTATTTATATTTATTTATGCTTATTGTAATTAATTTCATTTACCACTAAAAAAAAAAAAAAAATAAAAAAAAAATTACTTTAAATATAATTAAATTTGCATATTTTATAATTCCTAATATTAAATTTAAAATAAAAGTTTTTTTCTTCGTAGGAAATTTAATGAACAATTGAAAACTAAATATGGGAAAAATCACAAACAATTACAAAAAAAAAAAAAAACAAAAAAAAACAAAAAAAGCATTTTTAAAATCTATATCTATTGTGCAATTTTATGATGGTCAAATGTCTCGTATAAACGTAGTATATATTTACGCGCAATACTGACATATACCGATATGATATCATAAATAAAATGTTTGTGTAAACAGCTTATTTCATGTTTGGCTGTGTGTGTGCGTGTATGCATGAAATGCCAAATTTACTGCTCATGGGCCAAGCAACACTCATCCACACATACACAAGCAGAAAGATAAGTACAAACATACATATGTACATATGTATTTTCGCTAGAAAGCCACAAAGTTCTGCGTGAAGGCAGTAATCAAATGGAAGTCAATGTACTCTAATATGTTTGGCCATAAAAACTATGCGCAAAAGAGAAAGAAGCGAAACAGCAGACAGAGAGAGACAGCCGATGAGAGGCTGCGTAACAAAGACAACAACTTTTGAACTTGGCAGCGAAAAGAGGTGAAATGATGAACAGCAAGCAAAAAACAAAATAATGCTACTTTTCTTCTTTTCATTTATGTATATGGCTGTATACAGAAATGCGTCGTTCTCAAAATGTTTATAAATTTAGAATTTGGCAATAGAAGCGTGGAAAATATATGCGCGCATGTACATATATGTGTATTTATGTATGTATAGCTGTGTCCATGTCCATGAACGTGAAGGTGGCCAATACAGAGGCAAGAACAAATGCGTTGGTGTAAGGTAAAGCACACACGCACACACACACACATTCATATGTTGATTGTTTGTCTATTGATTTTCAGCTGTTTTGTTTCGTATGTGTGTGCGTCTGTCTGTGAAATAGCCGCTTTTATATTTATTTTCATTTATATTATGTTTTATCTACTTTTTTGCAATTTGAGGTGTAAGCTCTTACGCAACAAGGAAAATAATAGAGGGCAGTTGCAGCTCGACAGCTGTTGCAGAAAACTGGCGAAAACTAGAAAAGTTGGGTCAATGTCAGAAACATGTGCGATTCCTAGCCTGCCCTCACCAATACCAACAGGGTTGTGCCTGCGATAGTTTGTCTGCGCCTGTGTATGTGTGAGGGTGTGTGTGTGTATTGGCAGTACCATTGAAAACGAAAGCTGCGCAATGCACACAGATTGCTGAGCTGAGGGTGCAGAGGAGGAGGGCCTTGGCGCACGCTCGTCTGCCACGGCAACGACTAGGTCACTGAGAAGAACAGCTGGGACGCGGGCCGAGTGACTGACAATTGAAATTGCATAACGTTTCGTCAATTTGCAAATTTACCAAAAATAGCTGCAAGCATTTCCAATTTCTTTGGCAATTCGATGCCAATGCCCACCTGGTTTCTTGATATGAACAGTTTTCGTTGACGTAGCTTACCTGGGCCGTGAGAACATTTTGCGTTTCGGCTTCTAAAATTTTGTGTGTTTCTTGAATTGCTTTTTATTGTTAACTTTTGTAAAATTTATTGAAGCTTTCTTTTCTGTTTTGACACTTATCACTAGGTAATAATACTTTTTGTTACGCTCAGCTTTTAATTTACATTTGAAACACACGACAATTACGAGCCAGCCACCCTTAATGAGGCCCAACAAACAAAACTGAATATTCAACGCGGCGCGGGCAAAAACTACCTCGCGAAGCTGTCGGCGAATAATGAACGAATGCCAAAGACGACAAAACGAACCAAACAGAGCGCAGTGGAAACTTGCGCGGCAGTGATTAAAAAGAGTGCTGGTAAATTCGTGCAGATGCACAGTGCTGCCACATTTATTTGATTGACTATCGATGACTATCGTTATTATTTTATCAATTTTAAACGAAGTGAAACACAAAAGCTTCCATATGCTCACTACTTTAATTTCAATTTCTATATTGCGTAAGTGAGATTACAATAGTTAAGGGTATGCTTATAAAGTTCGGTATAAGTTGCACTCCGTCTGACACGTAGCTTTGCATGGACACAGTACTGTCCCCCAAATCTGGATTCATTTTTAAATCAATCGATTCAAATGTATAGAGAGCGCGAAAGCCATTGGCAACAAATCGGTCATTCGAGTAAAAGGATACACGAAAGAATCGTCCATCTGAACGTACTTCAAAGTCGGGTAGTTTGCCACAATACTTGCTGAACTTTCGGTCTGTACTCATAAAATTTGAAAATTCCACATAATCGCTGGCCGTTTGATGGTCACATCTAAAAAATTAGAAATACTAATAAATAATTTGAAATTACTATAACTTCGAGCATATGTACGTGCTAATGCCTTCGACGTCAAAATATGTGAAACGTAAAACAACACGCTCATCAGCTCCATAGAAATAGTAATTGCATACAACATTCTCCAGATAATAGCCAGGAAAGTTTGGTGAATGAAACAGACCACTAATCCTGTCGCGGCTGTTGTAAACAAATGTACACTCGTCTCCTTGTTGCACGCCTGATAAAATGCCATAGTCTAAAGACAACAAAATTGTTTAACATTTTTGAATACGTGTCACTTGCATCGTGCAAGTCTTACTTGTAAGAAACCGATATTCCGCTCGAAATCCATAATACTGCACTTTGTTTGTCATTTTTGGCGGATATTTGCCCACGAATTGCAGTTGCAGCTGCTGACTGTTGGACATCAGCGGTTTGGGTAAGAAAGCGCCACAAAGTAGTTCTTGCGTCTCATATTTACCCCGCACTTCTGTCAGCACATGCAATGCGTCCTCGTCTCGGCAGCGGCTGGAATTTTCGTGTTCAGTGGGTATGTTAAAGTCGTGAAACTTGATTTGAATCACTTCGGGTTTTTGCGCTTTAAATTCGTAACGGCATTGCACGACCTTAGCAGAGTCGCTATTCTTACTTATCGGAACACCGATAAGCGAACTCAGCAGCTGATTTGATTCGAAGATGCCGGACTTGTTGACGCGCGAGTCGTAGAGCAGCTTGCAATGCTCTGGAAGTAGAATATAAAAAGTAATAATAAAAGTGATATAATATATGCTGAAGTTGTTAACCAACAACTGTCGTATAGCGAACATTCCTCGAATTTGGAGAAGGACCATGGGCAGCAAGCAGTTAGAGAATGAAGACAACAAGCTGGACACATTTCGACGCGTTTGTGATGAAATAGCAGCTGAATCGAGCTACCTACGCAAGGTTGAGAAACTGGAGCACTTTTTTAAGAAAGGAAGCAGCGGAACCGGATTTGAGGGCGATCTGTTGCAGTGGGTGCAGTTTCTCATACCAGACTCCACACAACGTGTCTATAATTTACAAAACAAGGCATTGCTCAAGTTGTTCGCACGCATCTTCCATGTCGACCAGCAAGAAATGCATCTGGACTTGGAACAAGGTAATCAGCATTAGGCGCCTGAATTGAGACGATTCTTAGATGGCCATATCTCTTGCAGATGGAGACATTTCCGAAATCCTGCGCAAACACTTCGCTACCTCCAGCAAACTGAAGCCACAAACACAAAGCAAACTCTACTTACATGAGGTAGAAAAGATGCTCTGCCAGCTGGAACAGCGGACAAAGGAGGATGAGCAAACGGAAGTTTTGCAAAAGTTGTGCAAGCAGGCTACAGATTTAGATTTGCGAACGTTCATCAGGCTGATCAAGCAGGATCTGCGCATTAATGCACGGGCCAGGCATATTCTGGATGCATTTGGTCCACAGGCCTATCCAGCGTATCAGAGTTCTCGGGACCTCGCAGCTATTATACAGAATTTCGCCGGCAACAAAGGCACATCTCTCAAAACTCCTATAAAGGCGACAGCAAAGAAAGCGAAGAAGGAAACTAGCGCTATTCAGGTAATGACGCCCATTTCACCCATGCTGGCCAATGCCTGCAAGTCTGTGGAGGAAGCCTTTAAAAAGAATCCCGGTGGCCTATATAGCGAGATCAAATATGATGGCGAAAGAGTACAAATTCACAAAAAGGGCACCGAATTCAAGTTTTTCAGTAGAAATCTGAAGCCAGTGATGGATCACAAAATCAAGGACCTAAAGGATTATATACCACGCGCCTTTCCAGGTGCCGGTGATATGATACTTGATTCAGAAATCATTCTGGTGGACACAGAAACGGGTGCGTTGCTTCCCTTTGGCACGTTGGGTGCGCACAAGAAACATACCTACGCCAATGCCTCGATTTGCCTCTTTGTCTTTGACTGCTTGCTCTATGATGGTGATGATCTGACCCAGCTGTAAGTATAAAGCGAACGGTATTGCATTATAGAGCTAATTTTAGTTTGATGTCTTAGCGCATTTTGCAAACGTCGCGAGATTCTGGAGAAAAACATTCAACCTATCAAGTCCCATGTGCAACTGTCCGAATCGGAGTTCTTGAAGACCAAAAACGAGTTGGCACTGATGACCGCTAAAGTGCTTCAAGCCAATCTGGAGGGTGTTGTGCTCAAGAGTCCCAGCAGTACGTATCAGCCGGGCAAACGTAACTGGCTCAAAGTAAAGAAGGATTATCTCTTTGGTGGCAAAATGGCAGACACAGCCGATTTGGTTGTGCTGGGAGCTTGGTATGGCTCCGGCAAGAAGGGCGGGGTGCTCAGCATCTTTCTAATGGGTTGCTATGATACACGCGACCGTCTCTGGAAAACGGTCACCAAAGTGCACTCTGGCCTCGATGATGCCACCAATGATGAGATCCACGAAACACTGATGAAGCTCACAGAACGCGCCGATGCGAATAAAATTCCTAATTGGCTACATTGCAAAAAAGCACTAATACCCGATGTGCTAGCCAAGACGCCGGAGAAAATGCCAGTGTGGGAAATTACAGGCGCGGAGTTCACACAATCGGAAGCGCACACTGCAGGGGGCATCTCCATTCGGTTTCCGCGCATCACGCGCCTGCGCAGCGACAAATGTGCCAAGGAAGCCAATGATCTGGCCCATCTGGAACAGCTGTATGCCGCATCTAAAAATAACGTGAACGTGGACTTGCTGCTAGCCAATTGTAATGCGGATAATGATGATGACGCCCACGCCAATGGACTAAAGCTGGAAAAGACGCCCCAAAAACGAAAGGATGCCAAGGAAGCGGCAAGCAGTAGCAAAAAAGGCAAGAGATCCAAGAGCGGCGGCTCTGATGATGAGCAAGCAACACCATCAAAGGGTCCACGAAAAATGGCCAAGATGGAACCGTCCACAGCGGCATCTAAAGGAAATCTGATGGATTTCTTCAAACCAAAGAAAACAACAGCCGCTGTAAAAGAAGAAAATAAGACACCCGAAGATGTCAAAGCAGAAGTTAAGGGCGAGGATAGTAATTTATTTAGAGGCCAGGTTGCATACTTTGCAGCGGATGCGGCACAATCTGAACACAAGGATGCATTTGTACGAAATGGTGGCATCTTGACTGAAAATTCAAAGAATGCTACTTTAGTATTCCATAATACAACCAAAAATGTGGATTTAGCGGAGCTGAGGTACGAATAATGAATGCTATTTACTTAACTACTCTATAAAATCCATACAATTCGTATTTTACAGACCCCTTTACCGTCGCAGCTGCCGTCATCTCAACGTGAAATGGCTTGAGGAATCTCTAGAGGCCAAGAAACTGCAGCCTTATCCGCTCTATGCGTTGGTATTAAAGGCATAGCATTGCTTTTGTGTTATTGTTGGAATCTTTTCGAACTGTAAATTTATGTATATTTAAATTATAAGAATAAGACGCAATATTTATTATACTCAACTATATTGAAAATTTTTAGATGCCATTAAGTAAACCAACAACAAAACATTTAGCAAGCCCAATTCAACTAGAACTGTTTACTTCACCTACGTCAGCGCAGAGGCACATACATATAAGTGGAAAGGTATTTGTGTGTAAATACTTTCGTAGTGCTACTTATTTTTTGCAATGCGAGATTGGTTAAAAAGGGAACTTCAAATAAAAACAATTTCTTTTCAAATATAATTTGCACAAATTATATCAGTTTTATCACAAAAACAAGTAAGATAGCTCTAGTCGGGTGCTCCACTTAACACCAAATGATTTGAGCTCTCCAACCAACATATATATTCTCGTCGAGACATTCGACGTCACTGCTAGAGAGCCATATAGCAAATATAAACTGAAGTCGCAGCTGGGAATTCTCAGAATGCCGACTGCCTAATGAAGAGCTTTGAATGTATGTGTGCACACGTGTAGGAGCACTTTTTTCGCTGCTGCCAAACTTTTTTTTTTATAATTCTCTTTAACAGATTTAAATGGAACGTTTAGTATATAATCTACATATTTAATTAAATATTTGACATAATTAAATAATGGCTTTATTTGCAACTGACCTTCGAAAGGAATTTAATTGTTGTATAAAATTTACATAAATCTAAAATTTTATATTAGGAGGCAGTCGC